TTCTAGTTGTGTGCGTGCACCTCACAAGGATACTCTCTAAAAATCAATTAGTGAATTATCACTGGAAACAGTGAATAGCCACTGATTTACAGTTATAAGTATACCACTGAAATTTTCAGTAGTATACTTATAACTGCAAATCAGTGGGCTATTCACTGTTTCCAGTGATAATTCACTAATTGATTTTTAGAGAGTAGGGACAGCATTTATGCCGGTGCGTGTACAGCGCGGCTCGCGTTAATGGTTCCGGACCCGCAGCAAAGCCGGCCTGATGCCATCCTGATCCACGGCAAGTATCTCACGGTGATCTCGCCGATCCAAATCTGAGATGGTCCGAGTCGAGTCCGGGAGTTAGGTCGCGTCGCGTAAGGTGACCAAATTCGGATAAGGTGACCAATTTCTCTCTCCCTCGTGTACGGCCGTCAACTGTCGCGTTTCGCGGAATCGACATTGCCTTCGCGAAAGTTAGGGTAAGATGTCGAAATTCGGATACCAAAAATTCGACGAGTCGCTAATAAGCGACATTTTAGGGTGATTCAATTAACTTTTGCTCTTTTATGTATTTACAACTTTATGCTACGTTGTCGACATCATAAAAGGCATCGACGTGGTTTTACGTCGCTCATTAGCGACTCGTCGTATTGTTGATCCGCGCTTGGTATCTGATCACCCCACCCTACGTGCGTTCGGAACTAGAGACCCTGTAATCAGAGGCTGGCCATAAGAGTTCGTCAAATTCCCGCGAGTGAGAGAGAAACATAGACTATCTCACTCTTCTACGATCGTTACGGGTGAGATAGCCTATGTTTCTCTCTCACTCGCGGGAATTTGACGAACTCTTGTGGCCAGTCTCTGATCTCCAGTTCGGAACTAGCCCAACTTGCGGCAGCGGTGCAGCGGGTCTAAGGAGGAGACCGCGCGGCGAAGGGGTCTAGCGCTAACGAGATGCCGATTAACGACGATCGTACGCCGAACGGATCGCGGCCGACGATAGTCGAGGTCAGGTCCTCCTCCCCTACCCCTCCCCTCCCCCTCCCCCTCCCCCCGAGCAATATTGCAGCCGGCGGTCGATAAGACTTAACACCTGCGTCCAAGCCCGACGCAATCCCGTGGCCCGCGATAATCGTAACAGTCCGTTCTGCCAAAATCCGCCTCTCGGATCGATCGCCCTCCTTGCACCAATTTTAAATTTATGCGGAACCGTCACGAGCGACTGCAAAACACACAGCTACCTGGCCAACTTTTCCTTACGCCCCGCAGGCGGTTCGATAATATACTTGAGGCCCGAACGCGCCCGAGCGATAATCGCTTTTAATTTAAATATGTCCGCGCGATATACGTACGCTCGTTCGCAACGAATTCAATTAGGAATGTGTGTCATTAATATTTTTCTCCCGCTCTTATAGAGTGTCCTTCGCCGCTCGAATTTTGCGGCGATGTCGAGATTGAAATTGTGACACCTCCGCTTCCCGAGAACTCCCGCCGCGCCGTCGGGGTGTCCCCGCGCGTTATTAGTACGCCAACATCTGGTTGGTATCCTTGGGTAAAATGTTTATCAAACATTCGACCGAGCGCGATTATTTTGTCGTAGCCGAGACGGGAGGCACACGGCGGGAACTATAAGCAAACTGCCCTGCCGCGACCGGTCGCCTTAGCCGAGACTTAAATATTTATCCGCCTTATCTAGCCGGAGTGCACTTAAGTGCGCACAAGCCGCATGCATATTCCAGTTAGGACGATGACGCAGAGGTCGTGCGACATCCTCGAAACGACCTTGGCGAGAGGCGCGCTCGTGACGAGGACGATCGTGAGGTGAAAGCTCCCCGGACGGCCTTCCGACTTGCAGTCGCACGCACTCGATGACGGCGATGATCGGCCACTCTCCTCAGGGACGCCGTTATCTGCCGCGGACGCGCGCGGCAGATTCGATCGATCAGATTTCGAAAGGCGGACGGCGGGAAACTGGGAAATGAGATTTCGCAATCCTCCGCGAAATTCCAAACCGATTCAATTCTCTCCTGCGGCGCGCCCGCCTTCTTTTCACAATTGTTTTCATTCGTTTTAACTACGGTCTCCGAAAATATATCACGTGCACGCGGCTTTGCATATTTACACCGACGCGATCAATATAATATAATAATTCCTTTTTTAATATTGAACAAGTTTTATGATAAATTAAAATATCTTGAGGGCACGATTGGGTGGGAAAATTTGGAAGGCAGAAACCGTCGCCTGTACGTTCGTCGCTTTACGGAATGCAATGATGATGCAAGGATTACGCCACAATTGATCAAAGACGATCGAGGTTGGTGTCGTTGCGTCACCACTTACAGCTAATGACTTGGTGGTTTTTGCGCTCGATCATCCGGCTGTCTCCCTCGCGGATAATCCGTCTTGATCAACCAATCGGGTACCTAAGGATAATCGCAACGTTCTTATAATATCGCGAAATTCCCACGAATTATCGAAGATGGGAATAAAGTGACGATATATTATGCATGACGTAATCCACCGGCCAGGCTCGTAAAAGCATGAATTCTTGAACGTTTAATTATGCTCGACGATCCCCGAACGTGCTCCGTTTCGCGCTTTCCCGCCGCATTTTTCGGAGCGCGTACTAAGATACACAAAGGAGGTGGCATTTCTAATTCAACGCTGAGGACAATTGGGGGTCCGCAAAAAAGACAAAGTTCGCCTTCACGCCCTTCGACTCTCAAACAACTATTGGTTAGTTGCGGCCATATTGGAGCCGAGCTGGATCCAGGTGCTATTAATAATAATAAGAAGAAGAAGCCCTTCGACTTTCGGATTCAGTTAATTCGCATGTAAATGGACCTCGGCCAATCTCATGGCTAAACAATCGGTTGAAAACGCGCGACCTTTCTAACATTAGCACGCCTGTCGCGTACGATACCGCCGTGAAAGTTTCAACAGCTTTCGTCGGTCGCGGCGACTGTGTCAGCGGTCGAAAGTAAAATCGGAGCGACCGCCGCATCTCAGATGCGCGGAGAGATCTTGCGTAACTTGATTGTAGATCGGCATATTCTCCGAGCGTTTTGCAGAGTAAAAAGATTTGAATGAATTAAAGAAGGCGGTAAATTAAGTATTTAAGTGGGGAATTTATTCAAGAGAAGAATAACATTCCGCGGGCATTGAATCACTGAGAAAAATTCAATCTAATCTCGTAAACATTTAATTTCTTTTCACTGGTGTCGTGTAATTCTCGAAAATCCGAAATCTGTACATTAATTTTGCAAGCTGCGAAATCGGAATTATTTTTACACAGAGATGTGCGCCACTGTAAATGTATAATGCTTGTATATGCGCGACATATGTAGTTCGCTCATCGTCTTGACATTCTCGAGGTCGCAGTCGAGAAATTCGATAGTTCGGGGGATCGTGCGTTATCCCAAGATCGCGATCGAGAGGCGCGAGAATGGATAAGCATCTTGCAGGACGAGGAAGAAACTCCGTCGATGAAGACGTGAAAGTGCTCGGCGAACTGCTGCGCTCCACAAACACTTCGCGAGGCTGGAATTCCTTGATCGATCTGCATATTGTATCCTCAGAAACCGGAATACTGAGCAATGCTCTTTATTTTCCCTGGAAAAATTACGGGGAGGGGGGGGGGAAATAATGAGATACGCGTTCATAAATCTGCATGCACGAAAATTATGCGCGACCTTAATAAAAAGAATTATGAAACGCTTTATGTGTACGAGGAAACAAAAAATATAACAGTACGCATTTAATTACGAGAATGAAGGAAACATTGAGAAACGTGCCGAGGCGATAATATGACACTTTGTCAACAAAGTCCGCGGAAAAATTGTTGAAATTTTCGTGCGTGAGATCTACACTCTGAATTTCGAAGTTATTTCGACGTTTTTCTTTCGCATCTGTTCAACATGAAAGAAACGAGGGCGTAACCGCTGAGGGCATTGCGGTGTACAGATCCGCGGCATTACTGGGCATTACTGGGCATTTTTTGGGCATTATAAAGATAAAACAAGATAAATAAGATAAAGTAATGTCCGCTGGGCATTAGTGGGCACTGGTGTGCAAGATTTTGATCAGCGGTTTCCCTCTCGTACCAAACCACGTTTGGAGTGCGAAGTAGAGTTACAGAGTTAGGGAGCTTTGTGCTTACGAAGTTCTCTAATAACATTATCCGGGAACATCTATAAATCCGTTTGACGATAGAGGGACCCCTGCCCCCGATCTTTCTTCTGACTCTCGCGGGAGAACGGCAGTTTCTCTTTTAGTTACACAAGGGCTAATTCACGGGGGGATGTGGTTCGCAGGGGCAGGGGTGAGCGACCGGTCAGAGTGCTTCTTGGCGAGAGAGGGCACGTCGTAAGGACGCAAAGGCGCCGCAATCGATATCCACCGTGACATAACATCGGCGTGGAACGCCACCGCGATATTTTGTCCGCGATATTAATCGCGAGGTGCAGTCTCGAGCGAGTCCCTGCGGATCGAGGAGCGCCGAATTTTAATCGTCAATTTACAGCGCGCCGGACTCTCCGGGAGATTTACGGGCAATTGCGCGAAGCGATTCTCTCTGGTCACGAACGCAGATACGTTTAACTTGACTCGTGGAAGAACGGCAGATACGTTTAACTTGACTCGTGCCTCTTTTTTTTTTATCATATTGGAGAACCGGTTACCGGACAATTAAGGACTAGCAATCAACTGAAAATGGTTTTCTTGTCTATTAACCTTGACTTTTCCCGCGGCTTATAGGCGCAATTTGCACCTGCCGTCGAGTAGTTTAAGAGAGAATTGCTTTCGATAATTTCTTTAGCGAGATAAGCAAACGCGCGCGATTAAGCACAAACATATAGCGCGGGGCATTATTAGCTATTTTACTAGCGCCTTGACCTAACAGATGTTCGTAGAAATGACACGTATGCTAATAAATGACTGTGCAATCGTCGACGCGAGTTTGCGTAAAAGAAAGTATGCCGCTTCGGTGAAGACGTACATATTTTTTTCTCGCGCGTGTTTCTTTCCATTATTCATCGTGGAATTCGATGACTCTTGGTGTTCATCGCCATTGATAGCAAGCGACTTTTATGACGCTTACTTTATTTATGTTAGATAAATTCCCGTAGAAACGAATACTTCACGTGTTTGCACTAGGCTAACTGTTAATCTCACGATCCTACGTATTAAATTGCCAATAAAAATTGCTAATGGCAAAAAGTCTGATAAGAAGTGGGCTCTCCACGAATGCGATAGATACGCCCTTATTATTATGTCTCCTTGCCCCTCTGTCCCGCGGGATTCTCGAGGGATCCGGTAAATTCAGCGCGAATACCCGCGATGGCGCACAGAAGAATTCGTCATTCGCGCGAGAAAAAAAAAGGAGCAAATGCAGGAAGAGAGTTGAGCGTGCGTCCCCCGCATATAACAATGCGCATATTACCGTGCCGCATGGATATCGTGTCGCTAAATGTGCCGTCGCGGTTGGGCGGGTTTTAGGGAAACAAAGAACAATACTTGCGACTCGCGCCCCCGCGCGTCTCGCGCCCCTCCGTTCGTGCCCACGCGAACGGATTCGCGATTCGCCTTCGTCATTACGAATTCGCGTTTCCGCGGCCGCGAGTCGTTCCCTCGCGACCGTCCGCGGGGGATCCGGCGAGGTTTAATCGCTGTTTGTGAGAAAGTGGCGAGGAAGGAGGAAGAACGGAGGACCGTTTTCGGGAGATGGGCTACCGTCGAACGACGAGGGTTCCAAATTTTGCAGATCGGGAAACGACCAAAAAAATGGAACGTCAGTTGATTTAGGAGCGCATGGTGAAAATTCAAACCGAGATACCCGGGAGACAATTTAATTTCCGGTGAGAAAGAATTTTACACGATGCACACGTCGTATTATTATACCGCGAATAATATTATATTACTTTGCGGAATATTACGCGTGATTGAAACGAAGGAGAATTTGCGCAATTCGACTGCAAAAATTAATTGCAATCATTTATCAGGGTCTTCGCTGCTAATTACGTCGGAGTAGAATTCGCGACTTCAGGGCTCGTTATTGGAAATTGCGCCGAGCAATTTCAGCACCACGTGCGGTATAATACAGCTCGGTTTTCAGCGAATGTAATTGAGGGAATGTCTTTTTGTTTTTGCACTAGAACAACACAAGCGCGCGCTTCGCGCGCGCCATTGTTCTTCCACATTATATTACATAAACTGTCAAAATAACCCTCTTAAATGCAAACTGTCAAAACCGCGAGTCGAAGAGAATCGACTCGCAACAAGATCGAAATCGAGTTTCGAGAGAGCCAATCGGCATCGCGGAAAAGCGACAACAATGAACTCGCAATGCCTTATTTAGATAGGGAAAATACATGTACTTTCTAAAATAATTCGCAATTGTTTGCGAAACGTTCAACGGCGTGCGCATGATTTTGTCTTAACGCAATTTTCGATAGCGAAATTATTTTGGTCTTCGAATGTGTTTTATTTCGGGAAACACACTTCGCGTTCGCTTCCCTTTATCTGATAATAGTGAAACGTTTTATCTAGTTTACATAAATGGCGCGATATGCGATAGAAATATTGCAATTTCGAGGGATTTTGATGCACACGTCGGCCACTATTTGTGTATGATAAAACGAACTTCCACTAAAAGTCCTCGAATAAAACTTGGCGAAGGAATCTATCAATTTTCCACGTATCGCTACCAAATTGATATTAAAAATTTTACAATAGCTCCGTAACAAATGGAATTCAGTTGCGCTCGCGAAGAAAAGTTTCGGGACTCGAAGAAAAGTCCGAGGAGGATCCCACGGAAAATTCACGTTAACGTTTGTACGTCTTTCGAAGGAAACTTCTGTCAGTCGGAAACCATTTTCTGCGAGGAGAAAGAGAGAGAGAGAGGAAAAACCTCGAGAAGAAGCGAACGGCGCTCGCTCCGAGAAATCGGAATATTTATGTAAAGTTCTTCCATTTTTTGCGCGGGACACTTTGTCTACTCACGTCCAGCCGTGAGATTTTAAACGTGGACGTACGCACGGCATAATTTCTAGATAAGAATTTGCAGCGGTTATCTGAGAAAAATGCTATTGTGTCGGTCGAAAAGCGCGAAACGTATGCAAAGCGGGGAAGAGATAAGTATGTTAAAGCCCGTTATTTCGCGGGCAACCTTGAGATGATTTCCTCAGCGGCGGCAGCGTTTACCGTTAAAAGGCGCGCGCGACGGGAGGCGCGTGCCTCCAAGTCAGATAGCTGTACTTAATGCAGTACGCGAATATGAGCTTTTCCATCCAGCGGGCGCGATTTGCGCGTTCAGTGTTGAATGGGTGTTCGGCGACAAGTGGGTCGCTAAACGCTAGACACGTGCCCGCCCCGAGATTCGGGCGGGCGGGTGCATTAGCATTTGAGCGTTTGAGCTCCGGGATGAAGAGCCCACCTTCTCGGAATTCTAATTTCGATTGGTATAAGTTCCGTTCGAAGGAGATGAGCACCGCGGAAATAGTTCCGAGGGGGCGAAAGCCACTAAGAGGCTCCGGGAGCCCAGCGCGCGAAAATGCCGACGTCAAAATCGGCCCGGGGCTCTGCGGGCCTGGGTGTTACATTTATGCGGATAGAGGCCAATTATCGGATCTGGGATACACATCCTTGCGCGAGGGGCTAACTCTGGATGACGTTCGCGGATGCGAGGATTAACGCGGGTTCCAGATCCGCGGAAGGATTTAATAATTTCAACGGCCGTGTAGGAAAAGCCGTGGGAATATAATTAATTTATGCCAATGCTTACTTTAATGTTTATCGCATTTACATCCCAGTAATTTGCGTGATAATACATGTCAGTTTATTTTACGTAAAATGGAAAATGCTGCGGTACTTATACACAGGCGCTCGTGTTATCGGGCCACCGTAATGACGTACGAAACGAAATAGTGGCTCGTAAATATAAAATAATTAAATTGACCGCTTAGGCGATCGTAGAAAGAACCGAAGAATTACGATCGATTTGAACCGGACATCTAATATTCATAAAACATCGGTACGTTGCGTGTTACATTTGTGACGCAATTGCACCGGTATAAAGTAGATTGTGGAATAATTTCAATGCCTCGGAGCTCTGAGCCGCGCGATACAATAGTCCTCCTCGCGCGTAAGGGAAAGTGGCGGATCCGCGCTCGAAACCTCGCGCGGAGATTTCGAGCGTAACGGCGCGATTGATACGCCGGCCGCTATCGCTTCGCGATCGCATCCCGGCGGCCCACATTCTCTCGATCGAGAGAAGTCGCGCGGACGGTCGCGCGCGCGCTACGGTGATCGAGAAACCGTGAACTTGCACGGTTCAGAACACGCGCGGCTTCCCAGCCGCCGGGGGAAAACGCCTCGGACCGCGACGACGGCGACGGCGACGATGACGGTGAGTGCGCTCTCGCGGCTCAAGGTTGTCGCGACGGACTTTCCGCCGAACCGGTTCCCGGCCGCGAGACATACGTGACTTTCCTCCGCGAGTGCACGAGCGTGAACTTCCGCGAGGCTGGACCCGCGCCACGGCGAGCACAACGCGAATCGGGTCCGGCGAGGAGCCCCGATAAGGAAGAGAGAAACCGAGCGGCATCGAGAGGTATCGAGACTTTTCGTTTTTACGCGCAATGGGGATTTACGCTTTCAGCAATCCCGACGGCGGAATTACGCATCTCGAATTTGTAATATCGGCCGTGAATTCTGATTTCACATTGTTTACGACGATGGGACTTCGGTGACAAACAGAATAACTTCCTTATCCGTCACGCGCGCGATTGATCGAATTGAACCGATTTATTTGATACGTGACCGGAGATGTTTTTGCGTAATATAAATTTCAGATCGTTAACGTTCTGCAGTGAAACCGTATACTTGTAATATGATGCAATATTCAGAAAATAACAATTGAAAAATAAACAACCTAATGGAGCCAGAGATATTTCTGCAACAAATAACTACCATCTACGCGGAAAATTATGTAATTTATACTCGCTACTTTGATGCGACGTATAATATCGAATTTAGATGTAAATTTATATTAATGTTGTACACTAAAGATGGCAAAACCCGTGCGTGCACTTGCTATGAATGTACGTATAATTATAACAATTATAACCCAGCTTTGGCTCCATTGACTCGTTTATTTTTAATTTTAATTTTCTGATTATTAAAGGCCACTCTGGCATTACTCGAATAATTATGCAACATTATTATCGCGTTTGTAATAATTCCGTTAATTTCATGCATACAACAGTGAACTTTTCCTCAGATTGCTCTCCCACTTTGCGCTCTACGATAGAAAATTTTATACGAGTCAACCGCACATCGGAATAAAGTATACAGGGTGTCCCAGGAGGAAAGGTCAATATTCTGGGAGGTGATAGCATCGGTCATTTTAAGCAAAAATGTCCATTTGAATATATGTCGCGTTCCCAACTGTTTCCGAGATAGAGCTACGTGAATGTCTCGTGTATTCACTTTTCTCGAGGGGGAAACCGCTGACCAAAATCTTGTACACCAATGCCCACTAATGCCCAGTGGGCATTACTTTATCTTATTATCTTATTTATCTCGTTTTATCTTATTTTATTTTATTTTATCTTAATGATTAAGCAACGCAGTTAATCGATCATGACTGGCTATGTGTTTTTTTAACGCAGAAAATTTATTGCGAAAAATATTACCTCAGCCAGGGCTTGAACCTGGACCTCCCTTCTCTCTAGGCGGGCGTCTCAACCAATTCGGCCACCGAGGCATATAACAAGGCAATTTTATCTTATTTTATCTTTATAATGCCCCACCAAGGCCTAATGCCCGAACAATATAGGGGTCTCATAAACGAAAATCCAATGGGGTTAGGTCTGGAGATCTTGGTGGCCAATTAATGGCGCTGCCTCGACCAATGCACCGATTAGGGAAAGTGACGTCGAGGTGTTGCCTCATAAATCGGGTACAACGAAGAGGAGCTCCGTCATGCTGAAAGTACATAACACGCCGTGCAGCCAAAGGAACGTCTTTCTAGTTACCTCTGGTAATGCATTTATTAGCAGAAATTTCACGTAACTTTGTCCTGTCATGCGATGTTCTAAAATGACGGTATTTGCAAAGTATTTTGCAACTGTACATTCAAACAGCTCTATCTCGGAGACAGTGGGGAATGGGACATATATTGACATGAACATGTGTGCTTAAAACGACCGATACTATCACCACCCAGAATATTGGACCTTTCCACGTGGAACACCCTGTACATCACTGCGTGCGTCGGACTTGTATAAATAGAGCTCCTTTCTATCAGCAACAATCGCCTCAATCGTGCCTTGTCGCGTGGATTTTTCCGTGTCCGCGTACAATTTTCCTCAAGACCATCCGCTTCTCCTTCCCGTCTCCCTATTTTTCCCCTCCCCCCTCCCCCTGCCCGCTAATCGCGCAGCGCGAATAAAGGTGCGCCTCGTACAAACGGGTGCGTGACTCGTTCCGTCAATTTCGTGATTAAGGGGAGCGCTAAGTATCGCGCGCCCTAGATTTTTTAATTAAAGGGGCGTGACCCGCGCGCCTTGGCGCGGTGGTCACTGCGTTTACGCGATCGCTCGCGCGACAGGTTCAGTGCGGCCGACCGCGTTCCCCGTCTCCGATGCGTTACCGCCTCTCTTTCTCTCTCTCTTTCTCCCTCGGCAGATCGGCAGAGCCGTCGTAATTAACGAAGCGATACGCGCGTATGCATAGCGCGACGTTTACCGCGCGCTCCGCGCGTGACGATTTATCGTCGTAATTTTGAAATGGTAAACGAAACTGCGAACGCGACGAGCGATTACGCAAGTTGCGCACTTCATTAACAATAGTGCTC